AATTCCTGACCGAGTAGGTCAGGTCTTGTTGGAAAAAAGTCTGTTAGCCGAACAGGAACTCTCTTTAAACTCCGACCGTTTGACAGATCGCCTCTCAGAGTACTCAATTGATATCGGGCCGTGGCCTCAGTTGCCCTACGTAATGAACGACCAGCATCTATCTACAAACGTTTGAACTCCTTCCATCTCATCGTCGATATCTTTTGTAACCCCTCGTCCCCAACTATGGACGTCAATCCACCAAGATCTATAAATCCTCACCCTTGCATTCCTTAGATTCCTACCTGACTTCTCCCGAGTTGACTGACAGCATCGATCGTAGCTGATGTTTTCCGAGCTCTCTCCCTCCTCCTTCACTCAGCGTCCTTCGACTTTAACCCTCCGTTTGCTTATATGGGTAAGTAATGTATTTCTCCAGCACCGCTTAAGTGTTGACGTCGCTTTAGTTTTCTTTAATGCCTCTGTATATCTTTTCTACTACGTCAAGACTTTCGACGCCTGATGGAAATTCTAATGATATTATACTATCTTTGACACGATTCGACCCTTTATGGATACATGAGCGTACCACTTCATCAATTCTTCGTTTCAAGGATGTCCTCCCTTTTATTCATATCTCTTCTAACCCCCGCTTCTCGAATATCTCCTCTTGAGTAGAACTCGATATAACCATCCTTGAACTCCAGTCCTTAAACAGAATAAATGAACCGATCGAAAATATTACGGAGAAAGAAACTACAGATGGAGACGAAGATCACGCAGCTAAGAGATTGCAGAAGAAGAAAAGCTACAGCAAGACCATAAATAAATGTCCCCAGGAAGCTGACGGAACTTGACTTTAGCCGATCCGGAAACCGCAACGCATTGTATCCGTCGATACAATGTCCGCGGCGATTGTATTGAGATTTCCATCTCTTACGGATATAGGGTGAGAGTAACTACCCATGAAGAACACGTATAGGTGTCACCTCAAACTCTAGGATGTAGAGAGAGTCTGGGGATAGGGAGCACTAGTGGCTATCCATGGTCGATTGGAGATGCGGGTCATTGAGGAATAAACTGTGAGTTTCTATTCCACATACTATGTAGACTATTGGTGGAACTCATCAGTCATTAGTATCTGCCACTCATTATGGAAATGATTGGAACCCTGTAGACGATGGCCATCCTACTGCATGCCACCAGACGATACGATTCCAATGGACAAACACGAGGAGGAAACGGCTCCATTGATGATTAGGAAAGCTTCGTTCGGCAAGGTTTCTACAGAACATCGGTCCATGCTCCAAATGACAGCAAAGGGCCCCTCCTTCATCTTCCACAGCTACAAATGGTTCAAGGCACCTCGACGGTAAAGCCATTCAAAGAGGAAACTCTCCTGATGTCCTCACTCGTCAGCAAAATGGGAAGGGGAACCTTGCTACTGAGAGGCCTATGGAGCACTCTAGTAGCACCAGTAGACCTCAGGAGCACTGCAGGAGCAAGGTCCATTTTGCTGATGCCTACCAGCGGGGATTCTATTCATTGTGACACGTTCGACGGGGCTGGTGGGCTTAGCGACGCTGGACCTTGACGTTAGGTTTACCCTTGGTGAGTGTATCACTATCTTGAAGACTTCTATCTTAAACCATAGTATGCAAGGATATGGACGATCCAATCAAGTCAAG